AAGATTCCCAGGTGATTCTAATGTGCAGCCAAGGTTGAGAACCACTGCTCTAGAGGGAAGAGCAGGCTTTGTGGACTGCTCACCATTTGCTGAAGATTAGGAGCTCCTAAGGCAGCGGTTCTCAACCTGTGGGTCGAGACCCCTTTGGCGGTCGAACGACCCTTTCACAGGGGTCGCCTAAGACCATCCTGCATATCAGATATTTACATGATGATTCATAACAGTAGCAACATTACAGTTATGAAGTAGCAACGAAAATAATTTTATGGTTGGGTCACAACATGAGGAATTGTATTTAAAGGTCCTGAAGGTTGAGAACCACTGTCCTAAGGGAAGGACTCAGCCCCCTTTGAGCAGAAAGGATAATAAATCAGATGAGAAGGCTTCCTCCCCTGCTCCACGATCAATCAGATTCCTATTTCTGGGTCACTCGCTCTAAGCTAAATGACCCTCTGGGGAGGGTTTACATAGTCCTCTGAGACAACCACTACTTTGTTAGTGAAAGCAATGAATGGATGTTTGGATCGGAAAGGGTTAGATAGAGTTAGTTAGGGTCAGGGTCAAGGGTCAAGGGTGATGGTCAGCCTCAGGGGCAGGATTAGGGTCAGAACCTCATGTGACACAGCATGCCACTGTTGTTAATAAAAGCATTATCCCCCCACCCCCCAGTGTAATCATGGCCCAAATATCTGCCAGTGGATTAATCACTGGTTACTCTGAGCATCCTCAGCATCTCCAATCTGTGATTTCATAAGTGGGTTGTTTTGACCTAGGAAGTAGGTGTGGAGTCACGAGCCTCAGGACTAAAATAGGGGGAGTCGAGTCAGCCAAGGAAGAGGATGAGCCTGTGGGTATTTCTGATGCCACCACCCACAGAGGGTGATCACAGTTTCTGCTGGGTACGGAGGGCTACAGGGTTTTAAGGAAGTTCATCAGTTCCAACAATCCCATTGTGGGAGGCGAGAAAACTTAAGCCCAGAAAGGTTTCATGATATGCTTACAGTCACGGAGCTCCCCGTAGCTGAGATGGGTCCAGACCCAGGATCCTAATTCTAAGTCCAGTGTTCCTTCCATGCTGCCAGGATTTGGGGCTATTCTTCATCTCACACAGTCTTAGGCTAATCCCTCCACCTGTGTCTGCAGCTGACTGTCAGCGAGTACGAGTAATAGGGGTGATGTGCATGGTGGGTCCTTTTCCATAAGAGATGTCTCCCGAATGAGGGGCAGTCCTCTTGGACAGCACTGCTTGGTTCAAGTGTCAAGCCCTGGACACAGCTTTGTCCCCAGGGCCAGGACAAACCCACAAAGGTGAGGAAATACTACTCACGATTTGTCTCGCCTGCCGAGCCGTCTCGGGGGGCTTGCCTGTCTCCTTCGGGGGGACAAGGATTTTCCCCGGCTTCTCACTTGGGTTGGAGAGTGGGCACTTGCAGGTTTCAGGATCTGAGGGAGATACGAGGAGTTGGCACACTGGTTTCTAACGGCCCCCGTTCTTGAGTCTTCCCACAGCACAGCCTCCAGCCCCCAGCCCCCTCATGATCACATGGTTTAGAAGGCCCTGAGCTGGGAGACTTCCAGGAGGAAGTCTGAGACACCGAGTTCCTCTCTCATCCTGCACAAGCGAGGAGCAAAGGTACCACTTCCCCAGGGGGTAGGATGCCCCCTTTACCGAGGTAGAGAGAGAGGAGCAGAGCCCAGTGCCTCAGCCTCCTGGGCTGTGTTTAGTTGCTCAGCGAGTTCCTCTCTCGTGCAGGCAAAGTCCCATCTTCATTCCCCCAGAAATCACTTGTTCCTTTCGCTCTCCACACACCCACACGCACAGAGTGGTTTCAATTTGCCAAGAATCTCCATTCCAGGTCCCGCAGAGTGAAGATGACAAGTCCCCACGTGCTAAACATAACCGAGCCCGAATGTGGATAACCCTTCCCCCTGTGGTCCTCAGTGCCTGCACAGGCTTCTCTCAGTGACGCCACAGGCCCTGGAGGGACAAGGACAAGCAGGCATCATGTCACATTGAAAGTGACAAGGTGGAAGGAAGAAGGGCTTATGAGTTTATATAAAGCCAGCAGAGCGCTTGCTCCTTTGTTTGCCACTGTGACACCAGGTCAGAATTTTTTGCCGAAGGCTTTTGCTGTTTATTAAGCAAAGCAGAGATATAATGTGACTCTTCTAAAGCTGGGGACCCACTCACTCATCCTGGTTTGCCCAGGAATTTCCTGGTTTAAAAAAACTTGTTTAAATTGAGAAAGAGAAAAAGAGAGAGAGAGAGAGAGAGAGCGCGCACTTCTTGTTCCACTTATTTATGCATTCATTGGTGCCCTGACTGAGGACTGAACCTATAACCTTGGGTGTTTACAGACGACACTCCAGACAACTGGCTACCCTGCCAGGGCAGGACTTTCCTGGTTTTAAGTACTGAAAATCTCATATCCTGGGAAAATCTTCAGTTTCAGGGAAACTGGGATGATCAGCCACTCTATTACACAGGGCAAAACAGAACAAAACTAGAGCCTTAGTATAAAATGACTAACATTTTAGATTGATTTCATAGAAAGAACTGCAGACCAACACATTGCTTTAACTGTGACATCTAAGTTGATTTTAGCTCTCATTTTTGAGGTAGTATATGCAATGAGATACTTTAATTGTCCATGTAAAACAGCAAATGGCTTATCTTCTCTTTTTAAAAACAGGGTGGCTACCAAGCAAGATAACCCCAAGAAAGTTTTCACCATCTCAGAAATGTGGGGATGAGGCAAGAGTTATTGGGGAGACAGGACAGAGACAAAAAGAGAGGGGGAGAGAGAGAGATCTTCCCAGCACTTACCTTCATTCTCATGTCCCTGGCATATTTCTCCAGCTCCTTCCTTATGTCAGCCCTCAACATCTTTGAGACATTCAGGACCAGCTGCTTCCACTCAATGGGCTGGAAGCTATGAGGCTCATGGGGGACGTACAGCCCAATCTTGACCTTCTTGACTGTGTGCAGGTATTTCTTGTAGGAGTCTTCAAAGTCAAAGATAAGGTCACTCAGAGTCCGAAAGGTCAGCGGCTTGTCCATCAGCTCAGCCCTCCGGCTCATGCCCAGCGAGCCATAGTGGCCATTGCAATAAATCCCCAGCACGACATGATGAAAGTAGTTTCCTGAGAAGTAGGTTTTAAAGCTGATGGGGAATCGCTCAATGGAAGGCTGTCCATTGGTTAAATATCTTAGATAATTCTGAATCAAGGAAGATAAAGGAGGCCTTGAAAATTCACAGCGCTGGGATTCCCAGCAAGGGAAAGGGGCCATGGGTCAGTCCATCCCTCTGCCTCTGAGCAGGCCGACACCCAACCTTTCCAGACTAATCCTCTTTGAAAGGGTTCACAGATATCTTTGAGTACCTACTATATGGTGCACCAGAACCAAATTAATGTGGGACAAAGAGGGAAAATGGTAATTAAATAAATGCAAAACAAAACAATAACAAGTACTTTCTCCTCTCTTGGGTTTCTACAGAGGATGACAAGCTTTTAAAGGGTTTTATATGCACTCGGAATGACATTCCCAGATGTTAATTCTGGCTGGAGTATGTGGGACATTCCAAGAATCGAAGGTTTCTGCAATGTTCGGGGGAGAGATGACAACCAGAAGCAAGGCAAGGCAATGGACCTGTAAAAGGGACAGACTGGCTGATTAACTGCATCAGTAGTTCTCAACCTTCTGGCCCTTTAAATACAGTTCCTCATGTTGTGACCCAACCATAAAATTATTTTCGTTGCTACTTCATAACTGTAATGTTACTACTGTTATGAATCTGATATGCAGTATGGTCTTAGGCGACCCCTGTGAAAGGGTCGTTCGACCGCCAAAGGGGTCGTGACCCACAGGTTGAGAACTGCTGAACTAGATGGTAAGGACAGAAGGTGTCAGAATGGTCATATGTGCAGTCCGCCTCTCCTCCCGATGGCCCTGTCACAGAAGTGACACAGGCTTGGGGACCACACAGAAAGCCGCCTGCAACCCCTGAACCTCAGGGCTCCCTCAGTCCCCAGCCCACCTGGCACCGCAGCTCAGCTCTCTCCACACATGGGCTCGTTTGGTTGGAGTAGCCCAGCCTCTTACTGTTATTACCTCAGTTTGGGCTCAGGAACCATATAAGGTGCAGCTCCAAGTACCTGCCCCACCGACTCCACGTTGTGGAACGATGGACAAGAGGCACCGCATCCTCAAGTCCATCTCGAAGTCTGTTGGACAGCCCAGGCCAGGCCATGGCCACCCGGAGACCCAGCCTTTATGGAGAGGGTTACTGGGATCTCATAAAGTCACTCCTCGGCTGAACATCTTTGGTGACTCCGGAGTGTTCTGCAGGTAAATAACAATCCAGGTGCTTAACGTGGAGGCCTGTGCACGGTAAGGGCTCAGGAGGTGGGGACAGTCCTCCACCCTCTAGGACTTGTCTTCACCATTTCTGGCCCCCACTCCAATTTACTTTCCACACAGTGGCCAGAAGGATCTATTTAAGCCAGAATTTGGAACATGTCACTCTCCTGCTTACGTTTTTAGTGTCTGCCATCCTCTCAGCTCTTCGCAAAGTCCTGCCACAATTTGGTCCCTGCTCATCATTCCTTCGTGTAGTCTAATTTTTCCATCAACCTGGACTAGCACCCTGACCTACAGCAGACCCGTGACATTTTTGAAGGTTGCACCGAGACTATAATAAATGCCCAGATCTGTGCCCGCTGCCCTCAGCACATATATCCTGCACCCCATCACTTCCCCTCCAGAATGCAAAGTCAAATATAACTAAAAAATGTAAAGCCTTTTAAATGACTTACATCACCAAGCTATAAGGCCAAAGTGATCTATGAAACTTTCTGAAACATGCCACTAAACACGCTCTACATCATGTCCCTATTGTGGTCTAACTTGTTTTATGCCTTCACTCACACATCGGCCTTCCAGCATGAGGGATTCAAACCTGGTAGAGAGCTTTGGGGTCTCCTAAGAATCGTGATGACAAGGATGCTGTGGGCTCACACAGCCTGCACCCTTGGAACAGCATCACTGCTACTAGTATCCCCTCCCCATTCCCAGTGTGAGCTTCCCTGACCTTCCTCAGCCCGGGTAAGTATTTCCCCACCCACCCCCAGTAACTCCCAGAGCACTTGTTGTTTACTCATACAGCATTCTGATGATTTGCTGTTTGCATATTGTGAGGGCAGGAGTTGTGTTGGGCATCCTGTTACCTCTCCCTGGCATAGCGCTCCAGGCACAGAGTGCTTGCACACAGTACTTGCACACAGAGTATTTGCACACAGAGTACTTGCTGAAAGTACTTGAGCCTTAGATCAAGAGGATATGTTCCCTTACACTTAAAACTGCATTCAGTGTGTGTGTGTGGGGGGGGAGGGAGGGGACTCATCCAGACACCCTTAAAAAACAGAAGCTGCTAGAACTCAGCCCACAGCCCCGAGGTTAGCCTTGACCTCAATGTGATCACGGAGGGCTATTCTCTCCAAAATGACTTCTCCTGCTTTCTCACCACTTCGTCATGTGAGATGAACTGGCAGTCAGGGAGTGAGATCACATCTTTCTGAGGCCTCTTACATAAATTCTTTCTTGCTTTCTGGGGCGAGTTCTCTGGGGCTGGCTTAAGGGCATTCCTCAGTTATTTAAGTCAGTGTAACAAACACTGAGCGAGGGCCTCCTGGCCCAACGGCCTGCTGGGTGGGGCTGTGGGGCCAACGGTGAGAACGCAGCCCTTCTCTGCAAGTCTGATGGAGAGAGAGACTCAAAGGGGACACAATATGGCCAGAATGGCGATTCCTCGAAAAAAACTAGACGTAGACTTACCCCATGATCCAGCAATTCCACCTCTGGGTCTAGATCAGAGGTGGGCAAACTTTTTGACTCGAGGGCCACAATGGGTTCTTAAACTGGACCGGAGGGCAGGAACAAAAGCATGGATGGAGTGTTTGTGTGAACTAATATAAATTCAAAGTAA